GTGTTATCAACACTGCACTCTAACCAGCTGAACAAACCGGCCAGCACTAGAGACCTAATTTTATACATTCTCCAAACCATATCTGCATTCCCACTGACAATGGCAATATCACTGAAACTAAGGTAAAAATGTTGAAAGTACTGTCTACAATTTTTGAAACCATCTACTATTACCTATTTCAGTGATAGAGATGATTTCCCTTTGCTTTTTCTGCAAATTAAGGCAGATACCTCTCAATATTGTCTTGGACCCAAGATCTCTGGCAGAGGTGGGCCTTCCTGTTTTCTCTCTGAAAGCTTGCTTCCATTCTTCTGTTAGGATTCCAATCACCTCCTCTAACCTAGTAATGACTAAAAAGCTACCTTCTTTTATAGTGTCATCTTTAAGATTTAGTGGCTCCTGGTCTATCTTATTTTTCCTTTCATATCATCAACATTGTTCTCTAAGAGCACAACAGCTCTTCTAAAAAAAAAAATCCTTCTCTTCCTATAGCTGTCTCCCTTTATTCATTCATTGTCCAACCGATCTTCCTTTATTCATTTTCACCCTTCTAGTGCTTCTATTTTTGACTTTAAGATTTAAATATATATCTGATATACATACAGCTCCTACTTGATTTCTTGAATAGACCTGATACTTAGGGAGAAAAGAATCCAGGCACGACCCTTCTTAATACTCTTCTTGCCTTTGGGATTATAATAGCATTGCTTCTGTCTTCCTCAAACCCCTATATAACAAACAATTCCATTCTTCTTTATATATTTATGATAAAATTCACTATTCCTCTGTTGTTGAACACATAGGGAATTTCAGCCCAAGTCAACACATCTGGCACCAACTTGGGATATAAACAGAAGGTGGCTCTGGATACCCCATATAAATTAAAGAACTTGGGCCCTCCCATTATTCTCTCCCTGGCCCTATAAAAGGGTGCAATTCAAATTAAGATAAAGAGGAATCAAATTGGGTAAAACTGATCTAATGCCACCCAATAATCATTAGAACAATTTAATGGGTAGAATCTCCCAAACTTGTGTTCTTAAGTATATGTGGAACTTAGCCATTGCACCTTAAAGTCCTCACCTGAAATTCTGGCTGAGAATAAAGGCAGCACAAATTGATCCATTCAATAGTGCCTTCTCTTTCTGCAGCAAACCTGTCTCAGCTATATCCATGTGAATCCAGATCAGCCACAGTGGCTTGTACAGCTCACTTTCATGAAGGCTTATATCCAGCGTTTCTAAAAAACCAGTGGCTTGCATGTGGACACTAGCTACTTTAAGCTGCTAAGACTTGAAAAGTCCAAAGAACTAAATGGCCCAAGACCACTAAAGCATTAAAGCCCTGTGCCTTGGCACACCAGACATCTCATCTCCACACATCTTATTTTCGTTTCTTAATACCAGTCTGAGTGCCTATTCCCCATGACTTAATAACCAGTGCATATTTGAATGTGTTGGAGCACGAGGGAGAAAATTAATCATATCACTTTCCCCTCCAAGTTCTCAACAAAGTGAGTAATAGATATAGGAATCAGACTAATGAGGATCAAAATATCAGTACTTTGCTGATGAATCTGTATCATGTTTAAATTGGGCTTTCTAATACACTGCCTCTCCACCCTCCCAATTCCTGGTCTTGGGATGATCCACCCAAAGAAAAATATGCAATGGAAACACTTACCTGGACAGCAGCAAGGGGCACGGCTGCCCCAAAAATAGGAACAGAGGGAGATGCTCTTCAGACCTGCTTCTGGAGGGCAGAGCTGGGCTTCAGCAGCTGTGCTTACCATATGAAAGCAGGATCTGAGCGGAGTGCATATACATTGCAGGCAGGGAGGTGCAAAAGAGATAAGAGAACTTAGAGTTCTTGTATACAATGACCCTCTTTCCTTTATATCCATTAGAGAACACAATCATTTTTCCTTTGGGGAGAAGTAAGAGTTAGAGATAGGGGCCAAGAGTGATATTCTAATATGGTTCCCTGCTTGGAGAACAGGGAAATAGGAACAAATGACAAAATGACAGATTCTTGGCCCTGTGGGTGGGGGCAAACCCTGTCTTCACATCCTCCCCGTAGAAGCAGGGGATCCAACTCACACCCAAGTTCTGACCTAGCATTCATTCCTAGCAATTTCAGGAAGAATTCTATTAGTAGATTCCATTACTAGGTCATTCCTACATCAGAACTCAGGATGGCAGGGATGGGACTAGGACCCAGAGCTTCAGGGTGACCCCAACCAACCCCAAGACATATTCACTTGCTGAGATCCACCTGCTTAACAAAAAGAAGCAAAAGAGACACCAATAAAATTAGGAAGCCCCATTTACAGCATTTCACTAATAAATACTCAAGAACTGTCTGGCTGCTGGTGTGAAAAGAGTAACAATACCCAGACTAAGAAAGACAAGCATAAAAATCTTGCCTCCATTATCTGACTACTTTGGTGTCCTGGGTGTCTCCCTCCCCACAACCCCAAGACCCGAGAGGAGTCAGTTCTGTTCATGAAAGACAAGTCACGTTTAGGTAGCCAGAGGCCATCCCCAGACAAAATTCCCCAAGGTAGAAGAACTCAAATGACACTATTTGGGAGCTTGAGAATCAAAAAGTTATTTATCAATGGATGACCAGAAAAGCCAAGCATTCTTGAGCCCAATTCCAGAATGGTTTGTGGGAGTTCCTTTCCTGTTAGCATCTTTGGTCCACTTACCCAATGGCAAATCTTCTACTGAAGAGGACAAAGGAGAAATCATAGCTTTCAGTTGGACCCGTAGTACCCCGCCTATCCAGCCCCAGTTGAGGAAACGGCAAAGGGAGGACTCTTCCCACTACCAAAAATCACCTCCACAATTGGGCGGCTCCTCTTTCCATGTGTAACTCAAGGATAGCCCCACCTCCCCTGTTTATCCCTCATCAGGAAACACTGAAACTCTTGAGGGTCACAGGCCATACCCTTTGGGTCCTTCCTAAAGACCCCTCCCTTGCTTGATGTAGGAACACTTAGTATAACTGAGTCCCAATGCCATGTCTGTACCACTTACTCTCTTGAGGATACTGGAATGGCCAGGACCAGAAAAAGAAGAGAATTGGCACTAAAAATTAATCTAGCAGGTCCAAAGATAAAGTCTCAACCAGGATGCCAAAGAGTCATTCTCACTTTAAGTCCACCTGGTGCTAAGGGAGGAAATGAAATCAACCGGTTAAGAAAAGGTTTTTTGTGTTAAACACAATAGGCAAAGGAGTCAGCGGGGACTCAATATTTGAAGGTACATAGAAGAGATAGCGAATAAGGCGGGAGGGGATCCTGGTGGCAGGAAGGTAGAATGGTGTCCTTTGGCTAAGGGTGGTGGGGATGGGGGAATGGGGTAACCAAGTATGAGGGAAAGAGTCACTTAGAAAGCCACCTAAGTTCTAATCATGGCTCTTGCCAGCAACTCAGTGTATGACTTTGAGTTTACCTAGCCTTCAATATCGTCATCTGCAAAATAAAGGAACGCAGTTTGCTTAACCAGTTGCCTGTTATGGTTTTATAAGGTTATAGCATCCTTCACGAGTGTCATTGATGGACTATTACAAGACATTCAGGAGGGGGCCAGAAGGGACCTCACCAGGGCAGGAAATGCCTTTCAGTATCATCTCTAAAGAAAGGGTCACATGTATACACATTCACACATACATAAGCAGAGCGATCAATTACTTCATCCACAGCAGCAGAGACACATATAGAAAAAATAAATACTGTTGATGCCTGATTAATTTATGCGGCGAGAGGGGCACTGAGGATGTAACTTGGAGGGACTCCACAATCTGAGGAGAAGTGTCCTCCTATTTGATAATAGCTATCACCTCGCTGCTCCTTCCCCAAATCCAAGGCAGCTAGCTTTTTGGGAAAAAAGTCTCTTGCTTTTCCCTCCCCCACCCACCAACTCACCTGTTGCAGAAACAACAATGCACAGAACTTGAGGGAAATAAGCCCCTAATTAGCCACTAAGAAATGGACAGATACTACCACCCCTGAGGTTATTTGGGGTGGGGCAGCTGGGACTACATTCCCCTCTTTCCCTGAATGTTATCAATGGTTTTGAAAAGTCTTATTTTGGACCTGTCCCACCCCAAAGTCTATTGGGTTTGACCTCTGGGTGAAGGGGGAGCTAGTCTGGACCACCCTTTTCTTTCTAGTGCTTTTGTGGTTGTTTCCAAATTGTTTAACCAGCCGCATCCTAAGAGTGAGCCCGGAAGTTCCCATCCCCAAGCAGGAATCCAAGTGGAGAGAAAGGCTACGATGCAAGTGCAGGGTTCCAAATCATGCAAGGGGATTTGCAAACAGACTCACACCACTCCCCAGACATCAAGGAGCACCTCCCAGCCATACATCCACGTGGATGCTTGCATAGCCTCTCCTAGCAGAAGTAGCTGGGGCAATTGGGGGAAGTGAAGGATATTGGCCTCCCATCAACCTGGAATTCCTGTCTAAAAGATACTAAAAATAAATTAGTAAACATTGCTGTTTACAGAAATAGAAATCATTTCTGTTTCCAAAGGCCTCTCACCATCCCAGTCCTGGACATTTCCAAGACTGCCACCCCTGACACCCTCTTCAAGGTCCGCCCTGATGGGTGAGTGAGACACCAGAGTCCTTTGAGACTGAGAGCTCCTCAGGCATCTGAGAATTCCAGTTTCCAACCCCTGGTTCCAGGCATGGTAGAATCTTCAGTACTCTGGAGAGTACCGGAGTTCACCCCTTCTCACCAGTTCCTGGGAGCTGTCTTGAGGGAATCCCCCTTTTAGGATGATATACGTGGTGCAAGAATTCCCGCTATTTTTTGGCCCCCCAGTTCCTCCCCAGAGTCCAACATGCCTGCCTGGACCCACCCTCGGAGCGGAGGAATCCGTCTGTGCCTTGGTCTAATGACTCTAGGAAAGAGGGATGGGCAGAGAGAAAGCAGGGAAAACGGCCTGGGGGCTCGTCCTTGAGGGGACGATTGACAGCAATGACTGTCCTACAGGCAGGTGGTGAGGTTAGGCGCCTGGCTGGGGTCGGAGCTGGAGCTTTCCACCACACTGGTGGGTTGTGGGTTGACGCGGGGAGTGCGACGACGCCCCCGGTACTCGATCATGTCGGGATGATAGGTTGGGTGGCGGCGGGCGTGCTTGGTCAGGTGATCGCTCCGGGAGAACTGCTTGGGGCAGAGGGGACAGGAGAAGCGTTTCTCGCCCGTGTGCGTCCTGTAGTGGCGGGCCAGCTCGTCAGAACGCGTAAACTTCTTGTCGCAGTCGAGCCAGTCGCAGGAGAAAGGGCGCTCACCCGTGTGCGTACGCTGGTGGGACTTGAGGTGCGACGACTTGTAATAGGCTTTGTTGCAGCCCGGGAAGGGGCACTGGTGGCGCTTGGCAGCAGGCGTGACAGACCTCCGCCGGGGCGCCTGACCCCTGGGGGGGGCGGGGCTGGCCCCTGGAGCCCCGCCAGAGACCCCTCCAGAGCCTGCAGGCGCGCCCGGGGCGGTAGGCTCGCTTGGGACGGCCGGCGCGCCAGAGGTGCTAACGGGTGCGGAGAC